AAATACTACACAAAGCAGTAGCTAGATCTGGAGGCAGCAAAGAGATCAGTAATAGATAAGGCCACAATTTCTAATCTAGATACTGAATGACTGAGGAGGAAAGAAAGCATAGTTCTGGCTGCTGTCTAGAAAATAATGCTAGATATAACAAATATATGAAAATATTCAGGAGAGGATTAAATTTCAACTGCACATTTAAAAAATCCCATTTTTTGCAGTTTCTGCAAAAGAAGAAATACAAAGCTTTCTAAGTGTGTAGGTGGAGAGAATCTGGGATTTGACTTAAATTACTAGCTAATTGGCTTGTGTGTCAGTGACTCAGTGATAGGCAGAGGAGAAATAAGGAGGAAACCTACTTAGTGGTATATCAGAACTTTCTGAAAAGACAACTTCAAGAATTGACCAGTTGCTCACTGAAAAATGAATTGCTTCCCTGTTATGTCTAATGAGAATATCTTAAATAACTAAGATTGTTTTGTGAAACTTTTTTTTCTAGTTGGTTTGGATGCTGCTGGCAAAACAACTATTCTGTATAAACTGAAACTAGGAGAAATTGTCACCACAATTCCCACTATTGGTAAGTAAACAGATTTGTATTATATTTCATCATTACTGTGAAGTTTTCTGTAATCTAGTCTAGTCTTAAAGTTAAAATCCCCTGAAGCAGCAAGGACACTTTTTTTTTTTTTTTTTAAGTGCCAGGCGGCTAAGGCTGGGCAGGGGATGGGGATGGGGCTAAGCAGGGCAGCCATGGGGACTTCTCCCATGGCTCCCCTCTCCCCAGAGGATCCAAGTCACCGAATCGCTCCAAATCAGCACTGAATCTTCCAAAGCTTATTCGGCCAAATTGATTCAGAACAGTGATCCGAATCTCCGAATCAAATCACTGTTTTCCGAATCGGTCAAATCCAAATAGAATACTTCCCTATTCACACAGGCCTAGTTCCCAGTCTTTTTAGATCACGGACTGGAAGTGACTGTGGACTGGCATGCTGCAGAGCAGCAGCAACCAACCTTTTTTTATACCTGGTCATTTCCAGACTGCTGGCTGCTTCTGGACTTCTGGTCCAGCAGCCAACCCTCCTGTGGACCAGCAGCCAACCCTTCATGGGCTCTCTTTTCATTTGAGTTCCCCAGCCCCTGGCTCAAGTAGTGCTGGGCTCTCTTTCCATTTTTTTGCTGCATCTGTAATGGAAATCATTCATTTTTTCCTCCCTGCAGAGGTGCTATGTTTAGCACAGTGCTAACTAGTTGTCAGTCATGTGCTGTATTGAAAATAGTATATTCTTGCCAGCGTTTTGGCCCAAGAAACTTTCTATCTTTGTTTCCTCTTGATAGGTCCTCTGATTCCTTGTTACTTTTCCTGCAGTGAATCTTAGCTATTGGGCTGAAAAGTGGACATTTCAGATAAATTTTTATGTCTTCATTTTTAATTAAGGATGATATTTGCCAATATAATCCCTTTGAAGATATCCAGTTTTATAAATTACAGATAACGATGAATTAAGCTAACAATTAAAATAATCAGTTTTTACAGTCCTATGTACTTCATAGGTTATGCAAGATCCTGAAGAGGCTGGAAAGGTCATGATAAGAGAACTGGTTCATAATTTCTTAATGGACCTCTGCTGTTCTCTGAAATATGGCATAAATTTCTATGATCCAAGTCTTGGTACATCTGGCAGGTAAGGGATCAAGATGATGTATTTAAATTCTTTTTTACTGCTCTGCTGAGTTTCCAGCCTTGATGTGAGGTTTCAAGAAGAGATTGTAGCACATCCTTAGGAGTCCCTTCCTATAAATAATTACTTTTTTTGATTAAAAGGGCCTCTTATATCCAGTTTGAACCTTTACAGAGTCAATTTTCAGCCATTCAATCTCATTTTGACTTGGTCTAATAGCTTATAGAGCTTTCGTAGCAATGAGTTTTTTTTCTGTCCAAGGTGATGGCAGTTTTGTAGATGGTGATATTTGTGTGTGTGTATGTATGTGTACACACTTTTATGCATATAAGTGTATGCCTAGACATGTACAGTATTTCAAATTATTTCTCTATTGGTCATAAACTGATCATACATTTTAACACATGCACATTTTAATATACATGAACATGTGTATGTGTACACACACACACACACACCACCGTATACCTGTGCACGCACGCACATGCACGTGCGCACACGCACACAAACAACTTATGTATTCGGTTTATGACCAATAGGGAATAATTTTAGTTCTTTCCTTTCCATGGAAAGGAAGAAGACTAAGGGCCAGTTATAATTATGAAATTAGCACAAGCTGTTGTCATGCTTTGGCAGTAATTTTTTTTTGTTGGCATCTACAGTTTTTCACTTTGCTTAGACACTTTAGAATAAGCCATTTGCAATTGCATCACAGAATAGATTTTAAAATTGAAACCAGATTTATAAAGAGGTTGTCTTTACATTGGAAAAATATTTTTCTGTGGTCTGCTTATAATATGATGCTATAATTCTAGGTTTTCATGTTTTAGACATTGATTTGGAATATTTTTTGAACATCTCTGTGGTATTACATTGAGTGGTGCTTCTGTTTTGACTACTGTCTGTCACGCAGAAAACCGTGGGCTATCTTGCATTATTAGTTATACAGTAAAAAATCAAGTAATACTATTAATGTCAGTGGAGTCATCTTGGGTTCACACCAAGAAAAGTTGAATTAGAAGATAGCTTGATCACTTGTGTTACAATGTTGTTAATATTTGTGGTATAAAACTAGTGGTATACTTGGAATACTAAAGCATTTTTCCCCCTCCAAATATGTTCAACAGAGGAGGAAATTTGGTTCTTCTGCGCTTCCTGCTGGGTTTAAAAACTGCAACAGAGGATGAGATGGTTGCTGATCTTGTGGTGAACATTCTTAAAGTGTGCCCAGACTTACTGAACAGATACTTTAAGGAAACCCACTATTCTTTTGTTCCCAGACAAAAGTCAGCTTGGTTAGAAAATATCAAATTACTAAGAAAGGTAAGATGAACTTGAAAAACATGTAAGAGCCAGCACTATTGAATGCTTGTGACCCTACCAAAGGCCACCAAGAAATTCCATGCTGTGGTAGAAAGTTTACCTGTGGTAGAAAGTTGACGTGTACCTACCGGGGAATGTTATGACACATTCTGATGCTGTCACGTGTGTAAAATATGCTGCTTTTGGACTGTCGTGCAGTACACAGACCCACTAGGTTGAATAAGATAAATTTTAGAATAACTTTGAATTGTACATCTTAGTCCAGATCCTCAGCTGGCATAAACTGACATTGATTTTTTGGTAGATTTTGATTGATTTGTTCCAGCTGAGGATATGAGAAATATGCACTCTTGTTTCTTGAAAGAAGCAATAGCTTGATTTCAGAAAAGAGAATGGCATAGTTGAGGCTTGTACAGATGTGGTCTGTATGTATATTGTCTGTTTACAGAGTTTATGGATGTCTCTACCAAAAGACAGCTAGGCACTGCATTTCAAGCAGTATTTTAACATAACAATCAAACTGGATCCAGAGACCCAGCCACAGGGAAATTAGATGGTTGTGGTTTAAATGATCTAATCAGGAAGGACTTAATGGTTTTGAAATAACATCATTTACCATAGGTATGTTAGGAAAGAAGAGGCAGGATATTGTAAAATAAATGTTAAGGACACTAAAGAGGAAAAAAAATTGCATCCTGTTTTTTGTGGATGCTGAGGAAAATTAGCTATGGCTCAAAGCCATGGCTGTTTGGAGAAGCATAGATGTAAAGGGAGAAGGTCATTTGGTAAAAGGCTACTCTTTGAGGAGGAAGCAGTATAAATATTTAGCTAAATTGGGAAAGATGGAATTGGCATTACAATCCGTGGGAAACATCCAAGCGAAACTTTGGCTTTTAAGACCGAGCAGCACGTGGTTAGGGCATCCTTTTTGTCCTTTCTATATACACCTCTGTCTCTTTGCCTTAGCTTGAAATAGCTGAGTAGCTTATGCTAGCTATGCCGTATAATGAATAGAAAAGGAATAATAGGCAACTTGTCTGCAGGTTTCCTGTGTCATGGAATAAAAAGCTGGTGCAGAACTCTGTAGGATTTACTACTATGCCTTTTTACAATGGGGATGAATAATGACTATGTTTTAAGCAGATATCTTTTGTGTTAGGCCTTTTAAGTGCCCTTCCTTGTGTGTGCAACCTGACTTTTAGTACTATCAGTATTAACCTCTGACAAATAATAGCTCCTGTGTAAGGTGATCTTAGAAATGGCCCCAGCCCCCATGACTGTTTCAGTTTGGGGTAATTTGTTATTTTCATTTCAGATCTACGAGGCTCAACCTGAAATTTCCAGCTCTTTCAAAACCACAGAGTTTATTCCACTTTCTAAATTGCTTTCAGTGGTGATGGTAACAACTGTTCCTGTTGTGTGCAATAAAACCATGTTCACCCAAGGATTAAATGTAAGAGCATTTAATTATCACAATGATCCCCCCCATTATAAACCTTGTTAGTACCAAATGTTTGCAGCGTGACTGTCCAAGCAGCTTTTGAAACTGATTTATTGTAAGATTTATTGCTGAATGCCTAAACAGTGACCTTAATTCAGCTTGCACTTAAACCTCACTCTCAGTTTCTTCTATGAACCCCTCACAAATTTGAGGCCGGCAAAAGCTGGAGGGCTGGAATGTCTCTGTTCTAGATTCAGTGACACTGCACTTCCCTCTTAATATGCTGTTTTGTAAAAAGTATCTTGTTACTGATTTTTAACTGCACTCTAAACAAGTTTTTGAATGTAATTGGTAGGGACAGAAGTGTGGTAACTTTATTGTAACTTTTTATTTAACTTCTCTTCCTTTTTAGTTACCCAGCAAAATAGTGAAGCACACTGTCTTGTCCCTTATGTCAACTATTTTGAAAAGAGCTCTGAAAAACATTGAGCACTGTTTGAATGAGGACACCTGGCAGAAGTCAGAAATCTACACCCCGTCAGTGATGCAGGAATTTGTACAGCTATACAGAGAAGCCCTCAGCAAGGTACAAAGTGAAATAAAATAGGATGACACATTATGCAACAGACAACTTCACCTTTTCTGGAGGCAGATAAAAATTCTGAAGCATTTTTTAGGCACATTTATGAACAGTTAATAACCTGTGCAGTGGTAGAGCACATTAACTAATGAAACTGGTCAGTGGAAATGCTAATGAAATTCTCTTCTGAGAAAGATTCATATAATTGGCAGTTGGTGCGCTGGAAATGAAACTTAAAATTTCAGAGCAGCTTTGTAATGTTTTTCTGATCACAGTTTAAGTTAATTGTAAACAGCGGAGTTCAGCCTGATTTAAATTAAGGTAACGTTCTGTACAAACTGGCCCTTGATTTTAAAATATGCATTCTTTTTACTGCGCAGACAAAAAGCCAAGCCAAAACACTCAGCACTTGGTAACGTCTCATATATGTTCTTTATGCAGTTTTTTCTTTCTTATGTTTATGCTGAGAATAACAGCTGATTTCAGTTTTTATTTAAATAGGCTTAATATGAACAATTACAAAACCTTTTCAGAACAGTGATTCTCTTTGTCAGTGGGTGAAGAATACTTTCAGCCGTGTCTGGTAGAGAGGGGCTGTGATATTTTGTTGTGGGTATTTTTTTTTCCTTTTAGCTTTTACCAGACATGACTAGTATAGTGGCAGTCTGGCAGTCGCTACTTAAGCAAGAGAAAGAACATCATGTTGGACAAGGAAAGGCTGGGGAAGACACTGTCTCCACCTCAGAGGAAATGACCGAGATCACAGAAACTGATGAGCAACATGGTAGGAAAATATGTTTAGACATCACATCCTATATGAATGTAAACAGCTGTGAAATCCTGGCCCCAGGGAACTCACTGGGAGTTTTGCCACTGAAAATCAGTAGGGCCCAGATTTTTGTCTTTGCATGTTGTCTCTGTATGCAAAGAACAATTGTATAAATCTGCCTGAGATCGCTGTCTTAGGAGGATTTTGCAAACCTTTTTTAAATAGAGTCACCTGTTAGGAAAATCAGGTGCATGCAGTGCTGCTGACTGTGTTGTTAATGGCATATATGTCTCTGTTTGTACATTTCACCCTTTCCACAGCTATTGCTTTGCACTTTCCCAAAGCGATGTGCTCCATACTCTGGGGATCCCTGGGGTAAATCTTTCTGATACTGTATGGCATGTTTGTTTGTACATGAAATTAGTTAACAGTTAACATTTTAATTAGAAAGTAGTTAACAATATTGGGATTTCTAGCGTCATTTATGTCTGCTTGAGTAGCAATTGGAAAAAAAAATGAGGCAGCTTACATCTAAAGAGCTGCCGTTTCAGCTTAGTTTTAAGGTTTTTTTTACAACCATAAAGGGTAGGCAGCCCCATGCAGTCTCATGCTCTCACTCCTACTGCTGCTTTGGCACCAGCCTCACTTGGCTCCAGAGAGTTTGTGTGTGTGTGTGCGTGAGTGTGCGTGTGTATGTGTGGCCCTCAGTAGCTCACCAAAACTCATTAAGTGGCCCTCCAGCCCAAATAATTGCCCACAGCTGGCCTAGCTGATGGGGAGATACCAAATGCTAAGTAAGAATTCACAATTGGGGTTAGGCAGGTGATAGGTCACAGGCTTCCTTTGTCTGAAAAAAAACAACTGATTATGGTTCTTTGTTCTAAAATAAACTGATATTGGTTCTTTGTTTTGGCTTAGGTTCAGATGATGCAGAAACCACACTTCTGAAAGCTGTGTTACTTCAGGTCATCTGCCTTTATCAGAAGGTTGTTCCCCATACCGTAACTCAGAGCAACTTTGATTTCAGCAAACTGCTAAAAGGTATGTTGAGTGTATTTAAATTGTCTTCAAGTGACTAACGAAATCACTGACAAATCTCCAGCAGGAGAGGAGGCTTGCTTCTCTGTTTAGATGAAGGAAAAAACTATTTTCTAAAGCAGTGGTTCTTAACCTTTTTGTAGGGCCGTGTGAAATTTCGCCGAGTGTTTCGTTTCAGTTGCTTTGATGCGTTTCAAGCTCGAAACAGTGTAATCAAAATGAAACAAAAAGCATCGAAGCAGCTTCAAAATGAAATGAGGGCACTTGAAATATTTCGAGTTTCGAAGCAGCCTGGTGGTGGGTGGCAGGGGGCCAGGGCTGCGCTCTGAGCAGCTCCAGAGCCCCGTGTAGCTCAGCCCAGTGGGGAGTGCAGCCCAGGTTCTTCTGGCCTTTTGCTGCTGGGCTGCGCTCTGTGGGGCTGGTGAAGCGGATCAGAATGTAACACCGGCTTGCTGTGCTTCGATCGGCTCTGCCAGCCCCACGGAGCGCAGCGCTGGCTCTGCCCACCTCCCGCCACCAGGCTGTGGAGCCACTCAGAGCTCAGCCCAGTGGCGGGAGGTAGGCAGAACTGGCACTGCTCTCTGCCTCCTGCCACCAGGCTGAGCTCCATGGGGCCCAGGTGGCAGTGGCAGCCTCTTGTCACCCGGCACAGATCTGGGGGCCTGCATCCTCAGGAGGAACCGGTGCAGCCCTTCTGGGGGTGCGGGCCCCTGGATCTGCGCCCAGATGACAGGAGGCTGCCACTGCTGCCTGGGACCAGTGGCAGCATCTGTCTTCCCTGGAGTTGGGTGCGGGCTGTGCCCAGCACTGGTCCCAGGCAGCAGTGGCAGCCTCCTGTCAGCTGGCATTCATGGCGTTCTGAAGCCTGAGTTTTCAAATGTTCCTGAGGGAATTAGTGTCTAACCCCCATATGACTTTAAGTGGGTAGGATTTGGGCCTACAACTCCCTTAGACCACTCTGACAATCGCAGCCTAATTTTTTTAAAACTCTTTATCTAAAATGATATTACCAGTCTTAACAGGAGAGAATTCAAGGAAGGGTTTTTTAAAAAAAATCTCTTAATAACATGGTTCATCTTCTTGAAAGTCTCAAATTTAAAGTAGCTTTTCTTTCTGCCAATTTAAAAAAAAATTTAAATCATGCTGTCTATAGTACAAGGGAAGAGAATGAAATTGCCCATTGCATTACCCCTAATGGAATACCATAAGAGGAGAACTATTAGAAGTAACAGGAGATGGTGGTGTCAAAGTTTATCTCCTAATTAAGTTGGCCAGGGTGCATCTCTGTTCAGTGAGGCCAGAGAAGTGTGTAAAATTTCTGTACCACATGTAACTAGAATAATTGGCTGTATTTTGTGCTGTTCCATAGAAAGATGCAGTTATAGAAATACATTAGTTAAAAGTTTGTCAAGGTAAAAGGAGATCAAAAACTTCAAACAGACTTTTTTTCTTTCTTTGTCACAACCACTGCTGTTAGTTTGTTTATTCTGTGACCCCCAGTTATATATCCTGTTTATCTCATTATTTCTTGCAGCATAGTGGATTGACTCCCCTCCCCCCAACTCCCCCCAGAAAATGCAGAAGGGGGACACACTTCTCAATAGAACAATTCATCTTCAGTGATGTGTTTAGTTACTGTATAACACAAGCAGAATGTAGTGGAGAATAAAAACTAGCATCACAAGACTAATAAAAAGAGCCTGGGTATTCATTTTTGACTAGAGAAGATGTTATAAACATTGATGGTAGCAAAATGCATTTGTCAATTAGTCACAAAGTTTCCACTCTTTAACAGTGTTGAAAGATCTTCCCCTCAGACCATAGAAAGGCTATCTAAATGTAGCACATCCCTCTTTTCCATCCCCCCTCCTCACCTTCTCTGCTGAACAGCTGGCACTGTTTTATTATTTAGTCTTGCTATTGGTGGAACTCTGCCATTTTATTAGGTGTGATAACTTTTTCAGTGTGCTATCTCCTATAAAAGTGTATTCTATAGACATTACATATTACTGGAAAAGAAAATGCTGAGATCATCCAATAAGAAACGTAATTTATAAAGTAAACACCAGAGTGGATATAAAATATAAAGTCTGTTCCATAGCACAGAGTACACTGTAATTATATATATACTCAGGGAGTCAGGGGCAGCACAACTAATTCTGTGAATTATAGGTGTTTATTAATATAAAATGTACCTCCTCACTCTATATTTTGCCTTACATAAAGAATAATAGTTATTACAAACCAGTGATAAAAAGAGACTTTGGAGATGATGCTTACTTTTAGTTCTCGTTAGCAAATCTTGTATTTCATAATACTTACAGACATTAGCTATCCTATTGTCTTTGATCTACATAAATCAAGAAAGAAAAAAAAATCTGTTTATTTGAAGTTTTTGATCTCCTTTTACTCTGACAAAATTTTAACTTAGTCTTAAATGGTTAACATTTCTGATGCTCCTAGGTCAAGTGTGGCCAACCCACAGGGCACATGCCATGAGTGACGTGGACAGTAACTGTGGATGGCATGTGGCAGATTGGGGATGGAGATGGGAACACAGTGACAGATAGGAGCAGGAAGCAGAGCAACAGATCCAGCATGGAGCACAGGGCAGGGTGTGGAAAGCAGAGTAATGGACTGGACAGGGGACATTAAGCAGAAAGCAGAGCAGGTAGGGGAAGGGGTTTGGATTGGCCCGCAGGGAAGGCAGAGATTACCTTGTGATACACCTGCCAAAAAAGGTTGGCCCATGCTGTCCTAGGGTTTTGATGGAAGTTCCTCTAGAAATAACTAATTAATGTTATTACTGCTTTATTTTCAAACTCCAGGTATTGTCACTGAAAAAGGGCTCCGAGAGGAGATTCCTCCTGTTCTACAGCACCACATACTGAAAGTGGCCCTGGAACTGCCTGCAAACAAATTTGCCTGGTTTAAAGTACAGGTAGGAGAGTGAAAGATGTCTATCCTTTTTCTTTTGCCAGTTTCCCTCCTGACTTTGTGTTTGGGGCTGCACATCTTTGCACTAGGTCCAGTCCTTTTAATTTTAGCAAAACCGCCTCTTCACTGCCAGTAAGGATCATTGTCTTAACAACAACTAAGAAGAATTGCAACCAAAAGATGTTGTCTTTTGGAATAGAAACTTGACCCTGTCCTGGGAATGACTGGGAAGTCTGCAGGTCCCAAGACAAGAGTAAGAACCTGCTGGGTACACTAGGGGCATGTCTACATGAGACGTGTACTGCGGAGTTGATTTAATTAGCTCTAGTAAACACCCTGCATCTGCACGTTCGGCCCTATTAGTTTGCGGGAAACTAATTAACTTTGCACCTGAGTAGTTTTTGTACATACAAGCTACTGTCCTGGCATGGAGTTCTTTACTCTGCACAATTGCATGTGTAGACGCTGATGTGGCTAGCAGGGGCAAGAGGATGCTTCAGTGCAGGGGCTGCCTGCCAGCTAGCCCCACACTGGAGCATCCTTGTGCTCCAGCCAGCTCCTCTGCAGTACGTTGAGCTGCATTGGAGCAGCCCCAGGCTGGCAGGGCTCCCCCTCCACCCCCAGATCTGTTGCCAGCTGGGGCTATTCCACCCTGGCGCAATGTGCGGTGGTCCCAGGCCCACGTGTAAACTTGGCACCTGGGAGCAATAAACTATGGTGCGATATACACCAGAATGTATTTCTTTGCCTTAATAACATGTGTAGATGCACCCTGGGGGAGGAAAATTCTCCACTTGTCTATGTGCATACTCTAACTCTGCTTTCATTGAGAAGCACATTAACCCACATGTACTGTGAATAGGAGAATGCACACAAGTAGGTAACGTGGAGTAACTGCACTGAAAGTTTGCAGCCTAGATCACTATGCGCTAACTTGTTTGCTTAGTCTGAGGCTTTGAACCAAGAAAATGAGCTAATGCATGATGGTTCTTCTAACCACCTGCTGGGGAAGACTTTATCTATTTGTTACCCTTAGTGGATCCCACAGCAGCTGAAGGCTTGCATGAGATTCCCTTCTCTTCTCCTTTACCATAGCCCCATATAGGAACCTCCTTCACCTGGCCTACCTTGTGAGACCTGGCGTGGGGGGGGGAAAAAAAATGTAAGGGCTACTTTAGTTGGGACTTTCCAGAATAGTAGGTTCTCCTTCACATTCAGACTAACATAAAGGACAGAGGAAGGAATTAAAAGGAAGCAGGGAAGATCTTTGAAGCTGGCAGAATTTGTACTGTTAGCCTATTTCACCAGCTCTGTGGATTTATTTATTAATTTTTCATTTTTTGAAAATTCTAGTGTTCTCAAGCCTCAAGGGAGAAGAGTGAAGGCAGATTTTGCAATGACATAATACATTAGTTTAATACATTTGCTGTTGTTTAAAAAAAAAAAAAAAAGTGTCCAAAATGGGATAAGCAGTGCAGTAGTGTAGTTTAGCGTTATCTGGCATTCAATGGATGGCTTGCACCAGTTTTGTGTTTCTAAGCAAGTAACTTCAGCCCTTGTAACACTGGACGTATCTCCCATTGAGATCAGCACTAGTAGTATGAAGTCAATATTCGGAGGGAGGGTAGTGTGAGTGTAAGTTAAAATGTGGGGTGGGAGAGCCCACTTTATCTTAGAACTTTCTATTTTTTGGCATTGCTATTATGCATACTGCTTCCACTCTTTGGAGGTTATTATTCTCATCTTGCTTTCCCAGGAAACACAAAGTAGGTGCAAATCACCCTAATCCCCATCAGTCTTAGTATTTCTGGGCAGATCAACAAAACAGTTTTTTGCTACCCTGATAATTCAGTGTAATTCATTGCTCTCTAGTGTTATCATGCAAGGATGATTTGAACCTGTTCTTTTTAGGATGTCTCGGAAGCAGAGAAAGTGTGTGGTGAAAGATCGGTTTTCTATTTACTGATGAAAATGTTTGTAACAAGTAATCATTCACAACTGAAAATATCAATGAAAAAATTGATCATCAAGGTAAGCTTCTTCATTGGTCTGAAATACCAGGGTTTTAAAATCTCAGCTTGTCTAATCTTTTTCTGAATGCATTGGAAAAGAGTCTGGGTGGCTGGCAGTGGTTTTATGTCTTTCTATTATCGTTCTTGTGAACAAAATGTGTTATACGATAATCTTTGAAAATAAATTATGCTGAATGAATTCATTGACATATTCACGGGAGAACTTCTTTTCAATATTTTACTCATCTCCTTCACTTGGCTCATGCTTTGGGTCTTGAATACCATAGGAAGATATATTAGATAAATGATAACAAATTGACATAGTTTGCCCCTTCACTAGCCTATTCACATTGATCAGTTAAAATTATTATTTGTTACTTTTTATTTTTAAGAGTCTCTAATTCAGTTTGCCTTGTACTTTTTGCTCCTTTCCTTTCTGAAGCAGCATTCACAACTAGCCTGCTCTGCTCATATGAAATATTCCCATTGGCCATCATTTTATCTGGGAAATGATGTAGATTTTGTACTTTTTAAATCTACTTTTAACTGCCTTAATGGAAGAAGTCTGATTCTCAGGATTGCTGAGCACAAGCACAGATTCTCGTGATGTGAGAGGGAGCTGCAGGAAACTGGCCTTTGTGGAAATTAGGCCACTTTTAGTTTCATTTAGAAGCCCAAGTTTAAAAATTCTGTCCTGTGTGTTCCTAAGCCCTGATCTCTGCAATCAGGTCGATGTGGGTGGATTGCTATATCTGTGCAGAGCTCCATAATATAACAGGCAGAGGCATTTGTCTGCAAAGGTCCAGTTGTAATATGGTTTTGAAACCAAAATTATGTGGATTAAACAACCCCCTAAATCTGGCATGTGATTGCTGTTATTGGGTCCAGTTGCATGTTTCCAGCTTCCAAAATGCAATTACTTTTACCAGGGAAATTGCCTCATGAGCTTGTTTTACATATAGGTCACACCAGCTAGTGAGAAGCTGGTGATCTTCTTGCCTGCAAGTACGTTTCCCTTTCTACAAGTAAGTAACATCATTGTGGCCTTGCTATTGGATGCCATTGTCAGGAAGAGAGTGCCAGATTGCAGATGAATTTCCAAAGCACTTAAGGCATGGTCCGGAACCTGTTGAATACTAAGTTCAGTGGGCTTCTGGATCGGTGGTAAAGCCCAGGTCAGTGGGATTCAGTATAAAATGTTATGAAGGCTTAAAGACAGTGAACCTGAACCTTCTTTCACCAAGCTTCACGTCTGAAATTTTCAGTCCTTGGTGGTGGCCAGGGCACTCCTCTTGTGCTTGTGGTAGAAAAGCATGTCTAAATTGCAAGAGTGTATTTTTCCAGTATATCTTGACTCCACTGTGGAGTAGAGATTCGGTCTGCTTGACACGCTCCTGTTTCTTCTTCCTTTCAGTCTGTTCTATTTTCGCTGAGGTGGAGGCATTAGCAGCGAAGTCAGGATAGTGGACTTCTAATGAAGTCCAGCTTGTTAATAATTGTGTTTTTGCTTATTTTTCCAACCTAAAGTATATTTTGAAAACTTGTTTTCAAATTTTACATTCTGTACCAGTCTGTTTTCATGAGGGCTATAAGTATATTCGTATTTTAGAATTAGGCGAAGACAGCTAATTATTTAAAAGTGAATCATGTTTTTTGATGAATTGTTATGTCAGATTCATGGAAGCAGAGGTTTTTCTTTTTATGTATGCGGGGGTCTTGCTTGGAGTGAACGATGAAGTCATGGAAAAGAGTATATTTCAGTATATTTTTCTAAAATCCATAGCTCTTTAAACAATTTGAGTTTTTACATGATTTTGTTGTCTCTCCCCCCACCCCCAGTTAGTTATTTTTATTTTATTTCTTTGTTTCTTGCCCACCTGTTGCAGGTTTAAACACAAACAGTATGGTTTTGATTTCACTTATCACTGATTTAACTTTTATGTTTTGTTTTTTTGCTAGAGATAAAGCTTTTCTCTGCACAATTTATTGGCATGAGATTGGGAACAGGTTGTAGATTTGACAGTTCTATGAATCCTAGGTCTTACTGATGCTTTGGGACTTCAGTCACTTTAAATGTGAATAACTTTGCATATATAAATAATCATTTGTTCGCCACTATTATTTATGTGCATAAGATTAATCAGTTGTGTGGGACTGGGGTCTGAAATGCAGGACTGGGGTCTGAAATGGATAGATTTAACACAGCATGTGGGAGGTTTGGGAACAAATTGGAGGTGCCAATTAGTATGTATTTTAAGGAAGGTTTTGGAAGAGAAAAGGGCTGTTCTTGGCACAGTGGTAGAATGAATAGACATTGAGCCTGATTTTTACTTATCCCAAGGTTACCTTTTGTAGTTCTGGAAGTGTCAAAGGACCTTAAAATCTTTGTAAATACTTACTTCCACTTTGAGGCCCTCTTTTTGCAACTAGCATGGACTGACAGGACCTTCTCTGAAGGAGAATCGGGCCCCTGGACTTAAGTATGCAAGGATGTTTTCCTTGAACAAACTGTTCCTTCTCCTTTCTCGCAAAGAGCAAAAATGAAAACTGCTATGAAAAAAAGTGTTTATTTTTATTTTTAACATATATTTTTCTCTGGACAGGTTTTGTATGACAGTGGAGTATTTGAATACACGTGGAAGGAACTTGTACTTTGGCTGGAACATTTGGATAATACAATAGAAGACAAGAAGGAAGCAGTGATTCAGTTTTTGGAAAGGGTAATGACTGTTTAAATAAGTTAGATAAACAATGCCAAGAATAGCATTAATGGAAATTTAATTGCTTTGTTGCTGTTGAGAAAAACCTTCCAAAGAATTATGAATGAATTCTGTGTAAGGAATCACTCTCATTCTCAGAACTCACATCTGTTGTTTTTGAGGGAGAAGAGGAGGAGAGAATGTATTCAAAAGTTTTGGGGAAAACTGAATTCCAATAGGATATGTTCCCAGGGCCTGGTTGATATGATGGGAGAAGACTGCTAATAAGGACTAAGATTTTCTAAAGAGTCTAAGTGAATTAGACACTTCACCCTTTTAAGCTGAAAATCCTAGGGAAAAAAATTAACAAAATCTAGTCAAATGTGGTTTTTCAGAGAGCCCATTACCTTACCTACCTACCTTTTTCCAGATGCTAAATATCACAGCATTTCCCTTTGTTTCCATCAGCATTCCTCTTACAGCATTTTATTGAATTTCAGTGAGCCATCTCCTCCATGGTACTATGACTGACTGACTTTTACCTTGTATCCTTGGTTTGCAGATTTTACTGAAATTGGTGACAAATCCTTATCCATACACAGATAAAGCAGCAGACCTTGTCCAGGAAGCCAGTATGTTCCAAGTCAGCTTGTTTAAGCAAGACTCTGATAATGTCAGCATACCCATCTCTCACATTGATGGTAGGTGATGATTCTAACGAGGTATTTATGTTAATGTACATTAAAAATATTCTGGACTTGGGACCAAATCTTGTAGTCCTTAATCAGGCAGACTTCCTACCAGCAACCATTGAAATCTTGCCCACATACAGACCTTCAGGATTGGGTTTTCTAATTGTACAGGCAGTCCTCGACTTACAACATTTTGAGTTACGTTTCACACTTGCAACATTTATAAATTGACGCCCAGTTTCAACTTTCTGATGTCAGTTTCGACTTACAACGCTTGATCCGATGCAATGCCACACCAGCGAACAAGTTTGCTGCATTACTCATCTCCCTGGAGAACATCTGTCCAAACTTCCTTGGACGCTTTCTTTAAGAAAGCAGACAAGACTCCACAAAAACCTGCAGCTAAGACTCCTGAGAAGACTCCAGCCAAGAACCATTCAAGAAGTCCAACCAAGAGCCGTTCAAAAAGTCCTGCAAAGTCACCTCGAAGAAGTCCTTTCAGATCAATATGATTGCTGTGTACAATATGAATACATTAATTTAGCTATATTACTCATCTATAATTGATTGAGTACAAAATTCTGGGGTATTTTTGGTGAAAATAGGGTATTGGGCCTTGGTTCAAGAACCAGTCCCCCGTTTACAACATGGTTTCTTATAAGAAAATTGGTTCCAAGTTATGACATTTCGACTTACCATTGGTTCCTGAAAACCATATCTTGTTGTAAGTCCGAGGACTGCCTGTATTCATCCCTATATGTAGAGTTTAAATCAGCAAATTGGCTGCCCAAACTGGAATGTATTTTCTGACACAGCTGTAGAGTTTCAAAATTATACTTTATCTGAAGTTTTAAATCTTCTTTCCCTGGCCTCCAGTCTCATTTTTTGATCAAAGTGAAACCCATTTACAGCTGTGCCTCCTCTTCAACTCCAGGGCCAGACCTGACTCCCTTTGCACTAATAAGCTAGAGGCTGGTATGGCACAATGATCCTTTGCCACTTCTATGTTCATACTGGGTGGGGCGCTGTAGCCTGGGTGCTTCTGCTCCTCGGGAGAGGTTCAAATCCCAAGAAAGACAGTTTCAAAATTCTCATTTTTGCCTTAGCAGGAACAGGATCTGGTTGTGTGAACCTGAAGGTCTGGGTTTCATAGATTTCATAGACAGTAGAGCTGGAAGGGACCACAGAAGATCATCGAGTCCAGCCCCC